GTTTTTTTCTAAAAGATTTCTAGATTGTCTATCCTTACAGTATTTGGAAATTCCATATTTGGTAATAATCCTGACTGAAATAACAATAATAAAATAATAACATAGCTCAAAATAGTTATAACATTTTTTTATTAAAATGAGTGATGATAAATCAAACAAACATATCAATCATCAACAACCAATCATCAGTATAATGAAAGATCTATCCTCATCAATCTTAAAAATTGTGACAGAAAGTACACCCACTATTAATATTAATAGTCATCATCATTACACATCATCATACAATAAACATCATCATCACCAATTATCAAGGACAAATAGTCCATGGCCCACAAATACCCATAGTGAAGCCTGTTTTGGTTGCTGTTATTACGGTCACTCTATAAATGGTTAATGTTTATTTATAGTTTATTTTAATTTTTTTTTTATGAACAAAAAATAAAGTTTTTTATTTAAATCAGATTGTGAAAATATTTTGCAAGAGTCATTGACACAGAATCACTGTTTTAATTGCTGGATAATTGGTCATAAATTTAACAATTGCATACATGAAAGATGTCTTGGCTTTGTAAAAGAAGACTACATACTTCCATCGACCTATGATCCTGAACACAAATATAAAAATATAGATTCAATCCTCAACATTGAGGAGACTTAAAAAAAAAAATTTTTCTTGTTGTGGGAATGTGTGGAACCAAAGGTAAAAAAAATTTTGTTTTTTGAGAGTCTGGCTGGGTAGCCTTTGCAGAAAGGAAAATTTTTTTTGTTGTGTCTGGTTCTGGTTCCTTTTTATTTCAATGTGTCAGGCTAAGTGGTGGTCTATTCTTAAAAACATTTCTGTTTAATAATTTTCATTTTTTGAGAAAATTATAATATACTTGTATATAATTTTTTTTTCACATATATAATTAATAAAATAATAATAACATTTTAATATATTATAATTTACTCACTACTTGCACTACCAATAATGACAAAACATACTATTTAAAATCTCTCTCTATAACGAATTTTCTAATTAAATTCTTTATACTGTATAATGAACCATTTCTGAAAAACCCTCTATATGTACTACATACACTCCCTGGACAAAAGTTTCGGTCACCATAAAACAATCAATTGCACAAAAACGTACATAATAAAAATATAAATAATTTTTACCAAATCATAACAAAGTTCTCAAGAACATGTATGCAAAATTTCAAATTTTTGTGACGTCTAGGAGAATAACAGTTAAAAAAACAAAAGGTTCAACCAAAAATCTTCTGAAAAAATCATAGTTTGCCAAAAAAAAATAGTTTCTCAGAAACTTACATAATAACCACACCTGAAATCTTTCTATACAATTTTTTTTGTTTACTATTTTAAAAGATTGTTTTGAAGTTTTTGAAATTTTTGCTAAAATTAAAAAATGTCAAATTTAACAGAATCTGAACATGGACTTTACAAAGGTGGTAGCACTATTTCACATATTTCTAAAACACTTAGATTTGCAAGAACAACTGTAACTCGAACAATTAAAAACTTCCAGGAGAGAGATAGTGTTAAAGAGTTACCAAGAAATGGACAACCTAGACATTTGAATGTTGACCATAAGAATGAGTTGAAGAAAATTGTTAAAAAAGAGAATCGTAAATCTGCTGAGCAAATAAAAGACCAATTTAATGAAAATACAGGTTTCAACTAAAACCATATGAAGGAGTTTGCATGATTTAAATATTCATTCTTGTGTCCCTGCATCTAAGCCCTTTATTAATGAACAGCAAAGAATTAACCGTTTAAATTGGTGTATAAAAAAAAAGAATTGGTCTATTAGAAAGTGGAAAAATGTGATATGGAGTGACGAGAGCAGATTTACTTTATTTAAAACAGATGGTCCAGGTCACATTTGGAGACCATCTGGTACAAGATATAATATAGAAAATATTAGTCCTACTGTAAAACATGGTGGTGGTGGTATAATGGTATGGGGGTGTTTTTCAGGAAAAGGACTGGGTCCACTAATAAAAGTAGAGGGCAAAAAATGAATAGTCAAGACTACATCTAGATATTAGAATCGCAGTTACTCCCTCTACTTTATAAAGATTTTAATAATAGGGGATATTTGTTTCAAGATGACAATGCTCCAGTTCATACAGTCAAAATTGTCAAAAATTGGATTGAAACAAATAAAGTAAAAATTCTGAAAAATTGGCCAAGTCAATCTCCTGATTTGAATCCAATAGAGCATCTGTGGAATTAGTTAGAAATTCATATTCACAAACGTCAAAAAAATTTAAAAATAATGTTGAACTTGAGACTGCTTTACTTGAAGAATGGAATCAAATTCCTAGAAATATTTATATGAATTTGTTAGAGAGTATGCCGA